AGGTAGGCATCGAGCCTCTTCTTAAAGACCCCCAGGGTAGGAGCCAGCACCACTTCCCTTGGAAGTTGGTTCCAGATCCTAGCCGCCCTGACTGTGAAGTAGTTCTTATGGATGTCTAATCTAAACCTACTCTCCAACAACTTGTGGCCATTATTCCTTGTTATCCTGGGGGGTGCTAGGGGAAACAAGGTCTCCCCCAAACCCTTCTGGTCCTCCCTAGTGAGTTTTTAGACGGTCACCACGTCCCCCCTCAGCCTTCTCTTGTGAAGGCTGAACAGGTTCAGGTCCCGTAGCCTCTCATTGTAGGGTCTGCCTTGCTGTCCCCGGATCATGTGGGTGGCCTTCCTCTGGACCCTCTCAATGTTGTCCACATCCCTCTTGAAGTGCGGTGCCCAGAACTGGACGCAGTACTCCAGCTGTGGCCTGACCAGTGTCACGTAGCGGGGGAGGATCATCTCCTTGGACCTACTTGAGATGCACCTGTGGATGCACGATAGGGTCCGGTTAGCCCTGCCAACCGTGACCTCGCATTGTCAGCCCATGTTCATCTTGGGATCAATGATGACTCCAAGATCCCTTTCTGCCTCCGTGCTCTCAAGAAGGGAGTTTCCCATTTCATATGTGTGCTGCTGGTTACTTCTGCCCAAGTGCAGCACCCTGCACTTGTCAGTATTGAAACGCATCCTGTTTTTGTTAGCCCACCCCTGCAACCTATTCAGGTCTTGCTGCAGTCTTTCCCTCCCTACTAGCGTGCCCACCTCACCCCCAATTTTGGTATCATTGGCAAATTTGAACAGGTTGCTTTTCACCCCATTGTCCAAATCGCTGATAAAGAAATTGAACAGTGCGGGCCCAAGGACCGAGCCCTGGGGGACTCCGCTGCCCACTTCCCCCCAGGTCGAATATGACCCATCCACCACCACCCTCTGAGTCATATTCTCATTGACATTATTCAAATTGATTTATTTTACTGAGACTTTGGAAATTGGATTGAACCAGTTTTCCTGTGGACTTGAAAGACACCAGTTAAATGGGGCTTGTGTCCTTGTGAAAAGTACAGTTCTGGGAGAGAGCTTCTTATCTCTTTCCTTCACCATCTGGGAATACTCCTTACCCTGTTCTCTTTACTTTGCTGAGCAGGCCAGTTATAATGCACAACGGGTTAACAGAGACACATTATTATTGCAATAGGGTTCTAGCTGACTACTTACAAATCAATTGCTATCAAACGGCAGAACAAAACTCCAACAAGCAGGCATTCATTCCTGACCTAGTCTGATATTAATGACTTGATAAACAGATTCTTATTCTACTTTCCCAGGCTACTATTTAGGATTTTTTTTAAATTTATCCATGTTCCAAGCCAAAATAGCCAAATCCAATTCCAAATCCATGAGGCAGTCCAGAATCATAAATAGCCCTATGACTGGAAAATGTCCTCCAGCCACTCCTGGGGCTTCAGATGTTTCCAAATCCTTTGGCAGGGATCCTACTTGCCGGCCCAAGCCCTGGGGTGTGGGGTACAGGTGCCCCCGAGTTTTCTTGCCCTTAGCCATAAGGCCCTCGGAGCAAGCTAGGACGGAGACTCTCATTTCCATAAAGTGGGCTTAAAGCCGCTGCACCTCAGCGGGTACTGAACCACACCAGAAGAGCAGTTGTCCCCGGGTGCGCTTTAGGAAAACTGCCTTCATGGACAGATATGTGGTATTTCACCTGCCAGGTTAAGAACAGGCACTATGCTTGACCTAAGCCTTACAGAAGCATATCATTCATAACTTAGACTTTTGCTAGGTCCATAGTCCGCACTAGTCAGTCTCTGTCAGTCACTGACCATGAACGATGCATGCCCCTGAGGCTGGGGGGGCACGGTGACCACCCGCAGGCAGCGGCGCTGGCGTGGTGGTGGCAAGTGGGGAGCTCTCGCAGGTGGCCACAGCAGTGTCGGCGACAGCGGGATGGTGGCGAGTGCCGACTAGCGATTGGCAACTACCTGCAGATGCCACCAGCAGTGTCAGTGGTAGTCAGTGACGCTCTACAACTGCCCACAGACGCCACTGGCAGCAAGGCGGGGAGGGTGGCAAGCAATGGTGGTGATGGCCAATCGCAGGGGGTACACCGCCAATTTTAGGGGGTGCACGTGCACCCATGTGCACCCCCTATGTGTCACCAATGTCACTGACTATGTCTACAGCCTACAGTACCTGAAACAGTTCCCTGCAGCTATGGCTTATGGGAAGATTTGGGGGAGCCAGGGATATGGAAGGAGAAATTTTAACAACTTTTTTGTCTGTTATCTGCCAGGTTAAATGAGGTGTCAGTGGAGCTAAAGTTTTGAACATTTTGAATTAAACCCCTCCTTCTCTTCTAGACTCAGTGTTAGACAGTGATGAGGTTATCTAGTGTGCACAGTCTTCCAGGAGAGGTAAGAAAAACATTTCTAATGTCAAGAAATAGAAAAAAAAAATGTACTAATTATAAAGTTTTAGGTTTTCTTTATAAAACATATAGTAGCTTACAGATTTTTCTTCTTTGAAAACTACCTTTAAAGTGACACGTTCCATGATTTCATCCATGTTTCTGGCCCTTCTGTGTCCCTTCTAGAAGCAAACAGAGATTGAGAAAGAGAAGATGCAATTTCAATTTGAGCGACTGCACCGGTTCTTGGAAAAACAAGAGCGTCTCTTTCTGGCTTGGTTGGAATAGCTGGAGAGAGACATAGAGACCAGGAAGGATGAAAGTATCACACAGCTCTCAGAGAAGCTTTCCTGTCTTGATGCTCTGCTCAGGGAACTGGAGGAGAAATGTGAGGAGCCAGCAATGGGATTTCTGGAGGTGAGACTGTGTGAGCAGCCCACAGAGCCCTGCACAGTCACTGGCCACAGCTGACCTCCATGCCTACGTTGCCATTTGCTCTTTGTGGGGAAGAAAAATCTCTTGATCTGACTTGAATAGGAGAAAACTCCCTCCTTCCCCACCCAGCTGCAAAGGCTTTATTCCTGGTTTCATCCAGTCATTGACAGGAGCGGAAAGATTTAGGTCTTGAAGCCTCCTGTAGGACGTGAAGTGACCGAGGGAAGTGGGGCTGTTTTGGGGCATGACCTAATGGAGTCCATCCAAAGCAGGAAGGTCCCAAGCGTAGGCCACACATGACTTAACTCCTTCTTTCTTTCTCCACTCTAGGATGCCAGAAGCACCTTGAACAGGTATGTGGCTTCTCATGCCCTGACTCCTGAAGCTGAGAAGGGGTTTGGGCACCAGGTGAAGGACACACCTTCCTGGAGCCTGGGGAGGACAGGCATGGGAGTGTCTTTCCCTGAAGCTCCCAGTCCCACCCCATGCCCACAATCCTGAGACTTCTGACATTTCCCCTTGCCCGCCCAGAGGGGGAAGGGAGTCACCTGCGGGTGGGAACTGACTGTCAGCCCAGCTTTTTGGCTGATGCCTTAGGTTGAATAGTCAAGAGATGGATAACTCTGTGTCTCTTTCCAGATGTGAGACAGAGAGAGCCTGGCCCTCAGCACTTGCTCGTCCTGAAACAAACTGGAGGATTTGGTTATTTTCTCAAGATATTACTTTTCTACAGGAGGCTCTGGAGAAACTGCAAGGTAATATGGAAACGGAGAGCTTAAAGAGGAGTGTGAGTGTCTGTGCAGGTCCTGTTCTCATGATGATTGCACTGAAGCTGGATGCTAATTCACAATAGGGTGAATGAGTGAGAAATTGTCGCTAGGGAGGCTACTCCTGATTTTTATACCAGCACCAGTGAAATAGAAAATCAGCTCTGGTGACTCCATTGGAATTAGTCTTGATTTACACTGGGCTGAGAGAGAAAGCGCGTGTTGGGAGTTGGGAGGGGGAAACAAGATGGGCGCAGAACTCCAGCAGAGGGCTTAAGGCATCTCACTTCAGCTCAAGTAGTATGAGTTTGAATCGTCCATTGGAGCCATGCCAATGCCAGCTGTATATGTTTACTCAGGCATTTTGGTCTGGGGAGTTAAAGGTTAAATGCCCAGAAGGCTCCACACATCACTTCCTTGTGTTTGCTGACTATGGAAACCATGAAAGCCCAGTGAGCTACGAGGCTTAGGCATGCCTTTAATCTATTTATTCCTGTGAGAGAGAGAGGCATCAGCTTCAGAGACTCCAGGGAGATTACTCTCCATTTACATTGGGATGGGCATGATGGGAATCCATCCTGGTGTCTTCTGTGGAGTTAAAACTAGTTCACACTCGGGGCACATCTACATGTGTGATTAATACGTATGCATAAACTCCAGACCTAATTGCTCCGGAGTTTATTCATGCACAGTATGTTGAGGTGGGCCAGAGCAGCCCAGGCTGGCAGAGGACCCAGGGGTCAGGCTGCCAGCTGGGGCTGGTCTGACCAGGCTCCATGTGCTGCAGAGGGGCTGGTCAGTAGGCAGCCCCTACGCTGAAGCACCCTTGTGCCCCAGCCAGCCCCGTCACTGCCTACACATGTGCTGTAGCACACAAAACAATGCTGCCACAGGGTACTGCTTGTGTTTAGCTGGACTACCCTGCGGTGGCATTTATTAATCTACTGCAACCTAGTAAGGTCACGTGTGTAAATGGTGACATTTTCATTGCGGAGCTAATTAGCTCTACAGCAAACATCTCGTGTAGACGTGCCTAGGGGATAGAACGAGAATGGATCCCAGGGTCTGTTTTTCTAGTACAAAGGTGATAGAAGAAAGCAGTCCTAAATGTTTTCTAATTCATACACTGCAGAGCACTATGTTGCTAAGATTATCTCTGGGTTTTTAGTGTCATTGCTTCGCCTGTCCAGACCCTCATTTCTTTCTTGGTATTCAAGTCTGAGAGTAACCACCATGATCTGATCTCTGCTGCAAGTTTTTTCTTCTTTTAGTGTGCTTATTGCCTGACCCAAAGGTGGACAGAGGTAAATATTTGGGGGTTTGTGGGGAGGGTGGACAATACAATGCATAGTTTCCTGAAGCAGGAGAAAATAGTTGTTTGGGGCCACTCAAAGCAACAGGAATCAAACTGGGGGAATCACTGCTAAAAAAGTAGCCCACCTATGCTGGAGATGCTTGATAGAAAGACAAGGAAGTTATTACTCACTAATGCAGTGGTCCCAATTCCTGGTATTTTATTGCAAGGCTTGTGACTACTTGCAGTCCCTTTGGTAGGAGAGCACACATAACACCAGCAGACTCTCCTTATGCCTGAAGAAGGGTGTTTGTGCCCAAAAGCTTACTAATAACAATTTTCTCCAAGGATTTAGTGGGTCTAATAAAAGATACCACATCTACCCAAAGAACCTTGTCTGCCTTTTGGTTGGCAAAACACGTAGTTGAAAGAATCTTGTTTTCAGTTGACGGTAAATTCCTAGTTCTTGTGATTATAGTGGAAAAGCAGAAAGCCTGTCCCCATGGATTTCTCCTTTCTGAGCCACAAGAAATGCAAATAGGAAGAAACTAAGATGTATTTAAAAAAACGCTTTATGATTGTTTAAGCCAGTCTGATATTTGGGAGGGGGCTGGCACTGTGATACCATGATGATCAATTGGGACTATTTTATGAGTTACCAGGTGAGCCTGGTCAGCAAACATCTGTACTCAAGTGATGAAGGGTAAGGAGTTTTTCTTTCCCTGTGATTTGATGGGTGGAACAGAAATGGGTGAGATGAAAACTTAAAAAGACCCTTTGATCCAATGCACAAGGCAATAAGGGGCAGATGGCCCCAAGATGGCAATAGAACATTTTGAATGGAGAGAGGACATAATGTGCCAGATCATCCCAATCTCTGTCCCTCCCTCAAGCCAAGATCTGCCTCTGGTTCTTATATTTTGTTTTTCCCCGTCTCCAGTGAGCGTGACTCTGGATCCCGACACAGCGTTTTCTTGGCTCCGTCTGTCTCCAGATCGAACAAGTGTAAACTGGGAAGTAACACAGCAGGAGGTGCCTGACAGCCCTGAGAGATTTGATGCTGCGCCTTGCGTACTGGGCTGCGAAGGCTTCACTTGGGGAGACATTATTGGGAGGTGGAATTTGGGGAATTGAGTACAACCCATCCACCACAACTCTCTGGGTGTGTCCCATCAGCCAATTTTTTACCCATCCAACTGTGCAGGCATCAATGCCACAGTCGCTTAATTTATTGATGAGGATGGGGTGAGAGACAGTGTCAAAGGCCTTCTTAAAGTCTAGAAAGACTATGTCCACGGCGACACCATCATCCAAGGCTTTAGTTACTGGGTCATAAAAGGCAATCAGGTTGGTCAGGCAGGACCTGCCTTTGATGAACCCATGCTGGTTGCCCCTGAGCATGATCTTCCCTGCTGGCCCCCCACAGATGTGCTCTTTGATGATTCTCTCCAAGATCTTCCTGAGCACCAAGGTGAGGCTTACAGGCCTATAGTTACTTGATGGACTCTTTCCAAACTGTTCACATCCTTCTTGAAATGTGGAGCCCAAAACTGCACACAATTCTCCAGATGAGGCCTTACTAGAGTTGAATAAAGCAGAAGAATCATTTCCCTTGATTTGTAAGTCGCACTCCTTTTAATACAACCCTGTATGCCGTTGGCTTTTTTTTTTTTTTTTCTTTGCAACAAGAGCACACTGTTGGCTCATATTCAGTTTATGGTTTACTATAACCCCCCAGGTCTTTGTCTTCAGTGGTGCATTTATATTTGTATGTGCAGTTATACTTGTGGTAAAAATATGTTATAATCTAGTCATTATGATTTTGCAATAACGTTTGTGTAGCAGCTGTGTGGTAAAAAAATGTCTCATCTCCCTACACAAAGGCTTCACAGCTGAGAACTGTTTAGTTTCACTACATAATTGCTTCTGCATATTATCACACTTGCTTCTGCTAAGGTATGTAGGCCAATGATAGATTTACGAGTAGCACTAGACTTCTGCAGACATAGCCGGGAACAGATGCAACAAATAACTCCTTACGAGAGATAAGAGAAGAGGCACAGGGAAAGGTGCTGATGTGAAGAACTCAGACCTTGACCAAAGAATGACCGAGATGGGCTTAAAGACGGCCCCAGGGAGGAGATTTAAGATGTAAATGAGACATGTATGTAAACCATCATAGAACATGTACCTGCTAGACATATGTTGTAAGACGTAATACTTGGGCTACCAATAATTACGCGACACGTTAGAATCTTTTGTTTATGTTAGCTATAAAAAGGAACCCCAGACTCTGTTTGGGGTCGACACGGATTTGAGCATTAAGCTCCCTTGTCGAACTTGTTTGCAAACAATAAATCTGAAATTGGACCCAGCCTGTGTGTGAGACTCTCTCCTAGAGGTGGATTGGACAAGCCTCCAGGGGCACGAAACTAGCCGTTTGTGCAACACTCAGAGGCCTGGAGAAAGGTACCGTGATACCCAAATGCCTGTCTTTGTCTATCCCAACCATGCATTAGGCCCAGTTCTTACCCACAAGAATTCTTTTCTTTCTGGAAACTTAAAACAGCTCCAGTTCAAAACTAGCCTTTTCCTTCGCGTATCAAGACCCGAGAAACTAAAAACAGGTACTTAAAGTCACTTGAAATAATAACAGAACATGTTCTTGGGAGACTGAGATTCAATGTTCTTCTTTGGTGCAATTTCTCTAATAATTTAGTTAAAACAGCAACTTGTCTGTACACATTTGGACGGCCTTTCTGTGGGTGCAAGGATGGCTGCATGGATAGTGCAAAATCTGCCATTTTCAGGTCAAATGAAGTTACGACGAGCCATTTCCTTGGCACATAAACAAATTCCATATAATAACTCTTGAGCATGGGTTACTCTTCAGATCTTGATCACAATCAGTGATCACTGACCATGCACCAGAAAAGTACTTTTAAAAGCTGCATCTCCACATAACTTGTGTGACAGATTTCCTAGAGCCCGATAGCAAAGGTTGGCAACATTTTGCAGCTTGCAACCCAGGTTGCTGTCCTGGGCTGCAGAGTCCCAATCGCCCCCCCCCCCGGGTAACTCAAACGGCCGGCGCCTCTGCAGGGAGTGAAGCACTAAGCACCGACATGAGAGCACAGGGGAAGAGGGTGCTCTCTGGGGCAGCTCCTGGCCAGATCCAACCTCTTTTGCGGGCAGGATCCTGCTATAGGCTGCTGACCTCGAAAAGGGGGCATGAGACCTAGCTGATATCAGCGGCAGGGGCTGGGAGCCAGGCTCTCGCTGCAGTCACTCGTTTCCCAGCCGGGAGCCAGGCTGGGGGAGGGACAACTGGAGACCGGGGGGGGGGCTGGGAGCAGAGCAACTGCCCGGGGCTCTGCTAGCGTGACAGGCGGCTGTCAGGGAACCACCCCCCCGCAGTGTAGCCGCTCCTCCACGGAGCACGTGGTGGCTCTTAAAAGAGCCTTTGGGTTTGTAAGTCAGCGCGGCACGGATTTTACTGCCGCTTCCTGCCCGCGGCTTTCCGCCGGGCTCTGGCCGCCGGCTTCTTGGGTGTTTTAGCGCCCCGCTTATTGCCCCTGCCGGAGCCCTTCCCCGCCGCCGCCTGCTTCCTCCGGGACTTCGTCTCCTTCCTCCGGGCCGCGCTCGCTCTGCGGCTCTTGGCCGCCGCCGCGGCCGGGCGGGCGGGGCTCTCCTTCGGCATCCTGCCCATGCGGAAGGAGCCGGAGGCGCCGCTGCCCGTCACCCGCTGCAGGAGGCCCTTGGTGACGAGGGCGGTGACCGCCGCCTTGATGCGCCCCTTGTTCTTCTTCACGTTGTAGCCGTCGGCCGACAGCGCCTTCTTGATGGCGGCCAGGGACATGCCCTTGCGGACCGTGGAGGCGCACACCGCGCGGAGGATGAGGTCGGACAGCCCCGCCCCGCCTCGCCAGTGCGGCGGCGACACAGCCAGCCCGCCCTGCCGCGGCATCGCCCCTCCGCCGCCGCCCGAGACACAGCGCCCCCCACAACCCCGCCGCCGTGTCTTATATACAGCACAGCCCGACGCAGCCCAGTCAAGCCCGCCAAGCTTCCCGACGCAGCAGAATCAACGCCCCCGCCCCCGCGCTCCTTGTGCTTTTGCAGCCCCCGGGATCGGGCCGCGCGGGGTCCTGCTGCAGCCCGGCCGGCGTGGCAGGGGAGCCGCGCTTTCATCCCCCCCTAGTTTGCCGGATTAAATGAATCAAGTCCCCTCCGTGAAAAGCGCCGGAACCTGCACTGACCCGTGCGCCGGACCCCCGGTTTCCGGATAAAATGTGGGTTTGATGCTAAATGGAAACCCCCTGTCGGTAGGCGGCATGAGGAGACTGCTGGGATAGGACCCCGGCGGGGCAGAGAGATTCCCTGCGCGAAGAAATTGCCCCGTTTCTTCCTCCGGCTGGCCCGCAAGGCGCCGCAAAGGCGGGCAAGAAACACAGGCTCTTCTTTAGGGGGAGCCTGCCAGGATTTCTCTGACTTCAAAAGTGCGTCCAAGTCAAAGCAAGACCCCAGATCTCTGCTCAAGTAAAAGGCAACGGAAGGAGGTGGACGCCTCGGTTGTAGCTTGGCAAGGCTCTCGGGGTGCATCTGATATCTTTTATTAGACCAGCTAAATAGCTGGAAATTGCCTTCCTCAGCAAGCGTTCGGGGTTAAAACCCCTTCCTCAGGCTGAGGTAGCATCTGCCTGGTTGGCTGTAGCTTTGCATACTCATCCTCCTTTCTCACTTCGGAAAGAAATGAATGGCAAATCTTCCACTGAGGGAGTCACAAAAGAGTGAGGTTGGAAGAAACCTCAGGGGTCCTTTTAACTTGCCACAGGTGAGGCAGCGGGACAAGGGCAATGCCAATGCCCTGCCATGCAAGGGTAGGGAGTAGTTCGTTAAATCAGAAAGAGAGAAGGGCTAAAAAAAATCCTCAGGAGAACGAGATGCATCATTATTTGAATAAAACATAAATATTAATTTTGAATGACTTGCCCTATTTAGAAAGATTTAGCTATAGGCAGATTTTCCTGATGAAAAAAAGCACAATTATGGCATAGGAAAAGTGCTAAGGCAGACGCATCGTAGTACTTTAATTGATTCACCCTTTTACATCTGGGAAAAATGTAGAGCTCTCTTGATTGATGACTGATGAGTCTGGCTTCAGTGCAACCGGACAGATCCCTCCGATCTCGAGTTTTCTTCTTGAACAAGAAAATATTCATTTATTGGAAGGTACCTAAAAGAGGTGCTCCATTTGCATACTACACCAAAGAGGTGACATCCAGTATAACTGAAAGGGGGAGAGATCTCTCTCAGACAGACACGCTCCCTTTCTCTCCGCAGTTAAGTAAATTATTTCATTGCTCGCTTTTTGCGGATTCAATTCCTATTCTGCAGATCACTAAAATCTTTCAGTAGCCTTTCTAAACCCTTGACGATTACCTGGAAGAAAGACCCAAACTGGTAAATAGGATCTATAATTAAGGAAGAGCCTTAATAGGCATCACCACCATACAGAACAGAAGGAAATGGAAGGGTGACTTCTGCAAAGAAAACGTGTCGCATCTCTCTAAGTTTGTTTGAAACATCTGTAAAGCAAGACTGTTTCCTGACAGATTCCCCATAGCCATAACTTTACAAAGTTAGCTTGTGTCACAGCTTTTGCAAGTGGCATCACATTTGCACAACCCCTGTATGCCAATGCTCCCCAGAAATCGTTTAAAATGATTAATTTGTTTAATACATAAACTACCAGAATGAAGGTAATGAACCAGGGACCATGATTTATTACTGAACACACACACCTCCACTGAATACAACCTAAAACCACAGCAATTTAGTTCTAATTGAGGGAGTGATTTGCCTAGGTTTAGGACAGGATAGTTACTGGTATAGGTGACAGCTGTGAAACATTTTTTCCCCTGCTAGCTAGCTCCAAACGTGTGACTATATCTTTATTCGATTTTTAAAACCTGTATTTATTTGCCGTAATTTCAACTGACATATGAAGGGTCCTCTACGATGGCTCTTTTATACAACAAATAAGGAATACTTAAAAGGACCTTTTTTAACAGAAGAACCCTTCTCCTTCTACCCAGGTGCAGAAAATGTGCTTTGAGCTAGCACATTTGGTAGCAACTTTCTTACCTTTAAACCCAGGGTCCTTCACTAGCCTGCTGGGCAGTAGGAAACTATCAGCAGTCTTAAGATATTTCTGGAGCTAGGTGCGGATGTATGCCTAAATGGGGGGGAGGATACTTTTTCAGCTACCTTTAAGCGGGTCATTCCTAAAAACCCCCTGCATTACCTTTATAAATTTCAAAGAAACACTTGGGTTTAACCTCTTCCACACTTCCGAAGAGTAAGACTCCTTTCTGCGTTGGCGAGCTGCTTTTCTTTTTCCTCTGAACCGCCCCCAAACCCCATGCGTGTATTGGTCCCTTTCTCAGCGGTGAATTATTTAAAAGCAGGACCATCCTGAGCGCTGCAGCTTGTGCTTATATGGAAGTCAGTGGAGCCTGAGCCATATAGTTGCTCGAGCAGAGCCTTTCCTTGACCAGTCACGAACCTCTGCAGCTCTCCCGAGTTGCAGAGCCGGGGTTTTCATCCTGCGCCTTGTCATGGGTTCATTTGGAGACCGATGATACCAGCGAATATTTCCCTGCCTCCATTATTAATATCAGTCATAGGCTTGAAGTCTCATAGCGCAAATCCTTCGCTTGTCTCTATTGTAACCTGAGAGCAAATACGGAAAATAATGAATGCTTTGAAGGGCTTTTTTTTCAAGGTGCAGATAAGCGATCTCCGTATCTTTTCCTAGCCGGGAGGTTGTTATTTTATCTAGTGCTTGACAGATCCATACACCAGGGACACCGGCACTCCTAGCTGTTGTTAATGGTGCGGCCGTTTCTTCCGGAAATGCCCGTTGATTCGTACTGGTGATTAGGTTGCCTTGGACAACTGGAGCGCGACGGGCAAGAAGCGACCCTGATTTGCGGCAAATAGAGAATAAATGATTTAAGAGGCAACAGGGAAAGCAGCATTTCTCGTTGCCCGAGCTGAGCACGGGCGGCGGCAGGCCCCCGCTGGCCCAGGGCGGGAGCGGGGCACGCGGGCACGGACGAGACGAGAAAGCCCCCGCACTGCTCTGCGGCTCGGGTGCGGCGCGGATAGAAATGCTTCATTCCTATTGGACAAGCAGACCAACGCGACTACAAATGCCGCTTCCTATTGGGTGGCATTCTGATACCCGCCGGGACAAGGGGGGAGCCGGGAGCTCCCAGCCTGGAGCTGCTGCTTCTTGCACTTACGTTTGCCCTGGACAGTTAGTTATACTGCTCCCTGCTTGAATCGGTTCCTTTTTAGAGGTGAATCCGGCTTATTATTCATAAATGAATATGTTAATGACTATCTATCATTGCTTTAGGACTCTGAAACCTCCCTTCCAGAGTAGCATGAAACAAATATTTAATACCATGTGGTGACTGGATCTATTCGTGGTACTTGAAGGTGGTTTTAATTGCAGGAGGCTCTAATGGGCTGTGATTGTGTCCTGTTTGTTCACAGCTTTCCAAAGCCGGGGATTTAACGGAGTATTTTTTTGTTTCCTTTTTTTTTTTTTTTAATATTTCCTTTTTAAATCCCTGTATATTTCCTTACTAAGGGTGATACCATCATGGGATGCTTTAAATGATATATACAGATTTTCAGCTGATTCTCACATCCAAATGCCTCTCCTTTGTTTTCTTCCAGCTTTTTTGGGAGGAGGTGGGAACAGTCAATAGCACTGAAGATTATGCTGATTTGGTGGCCTGTTTTCAATCAGGTCTGCTGGTGCTGGCACAGAGGTGGGGGCTCTCTGGGCTACACCTCTGGGGCCCTTTCCCCAGTCAGACTAACCCGACCTCTCTGCTCTGAGCCAGTCCTTCCTCTCTGAGGTCTTCATAAATAGCCTTGGGAGTATCTCTCACTTACTTTTCTGTATCCAGCAGAAGGAAGCAGCTTTTGATGGCTCGTGTAAAGCAGCTCAATCGTAAGGTTGCCACTGAAGGACTCCCTCGGGAGGACCTGCTCAAGAGAACAGCTCGAAAAAGGGTAGCAGAGACAATCTATGCATCCCCTATGGAGCAGGTACCTGGGAAAAAGCCTGCTGGAAAAACCCGTGCTTCTGCAGCAGAAGAGGTGGAGAAGCCTCTGCATCCCCAGTCTCGCCCCCACGCTAAAATGTTCCAAAAAATTCACTGATATCAGCAACACAGCGGCCTGGTGATTTCCCCGCTTGGCTTCCGACGACTAATGAAAGACGCTTGTGATCTGAAGAGTAACTTGCATTTCCAGTCGCCAGCTCTCCTGCCTCTGCAGGAAGCCACTGAAGCTCATCTCCTGCGGCTGTTTGAAGACTGGAACCAATGTGCTCTTCATGCAAAAAGAGCCTCCGTGCAACCCAGCGATGTTCATCTTGTGAGATGCCTCCAGGGAGACAGAACGTGAACTTCATAGAGGCACACAGGACAACCCTTCTCAGGAAAGATTTCTCTACAGCTTTCCTTGGGAGTCACCATGCTGCTGTAGAGGGAAGCACTTGGTTCATCTTTGTAGCTTTGTTTGTTTTTACATTTTTAGTTTTTTAAAACTTTTGTTAAATAGCCTTTCAAATGTCTCAAATACATGGCTATTACCCTTTTTTAAGACGATGGGAGAAGCTGATGGTTTCTCCAAACAGGAATGCAAAGTTCCCTTTAATGTTCTCCTCTTTGTAACGTTAAGATACACTGCTGTCGTTAAGTGAGTTTCTTTGTGCTGGGAATAAATGTTTCGCAACAGAATATATAAATATAATAATGTAAAAAATAAAGATCTATGGTAGTCAAGGTTCGTATGTCTATGTTATAAGTTGCCTATATATTTTGGACAATGTTTTGGCGAAAAAGTGTCTTTACTTAACCAGAAAATATTGTTGAATTCGCCCAGAATCAGCAGGGATGTGTTTACTGTTGGGACATCAAATCATAGTTTCATAGTTTCATAGTTTCAGGGTCGGAAGGGACCTAATGCAGCTTTATTTTGTGTTATGTCAGTGTTGTGATACTGAAAGTCCGCCCTTTTTAATTTAATTACTCTAATGTAGTAACTGTGTCATTTAGCGTTTGCTCTTTGTCCCCCCCTGCACCCTCAACAAAATGACTGTCGCACAAGTCAATGCTTGAGAACTTGAATGATGTCCAACAATAGCAGAGTGGGGAATATAATAATACAGAAGCTGTTATGGGCTGTGAGAAAAAGGACAATTACTATGTGCACAAGCAGAAGTCAGCACAGGTGAGACCAACGCAGGATGTTCCACTCCTGTTTCATTAGTCTGGTTATGAATGTCAATGCAATTCCTTGGACAGTATAATAATAATATTGTCACCTGGAACAAGCATGTCTCAAGATCCTTTCACAGCAGTTGTTACAGTGTTTAAAAGCAGCACATTATATCAAATTGCCAACCACTTATGTAGCACTTCCTTTTTTTTTTTTTCTTTTAAAGATTTCCCCCCATATCTGCTTAATTTCACAGATCATTTGTTTCACCGCGGAATTGTCTATGAAAAAAAAGATGTAGAGAGCTAACACAAGTAAAATATTTCAGCAGAAATAGAAACTCATTGGTTTCCTTTATATCTTTCAAGAAAACCTACAAAAATGAAAAGGAAATCAGGACTCGTAGTAGAGATGATATCTTTTATTAGACCAACAAGATTGTTGCAAAAAAAAAAAAAATCTTTAATTGCAAGCTTTCAGGCACAAACACCCTTAAGGCATCAGGCATTGGAGAAAAGATTGTAAAAGTTCTCTTGGGTAGAAATGAAAGTTCATATTTCACAGGATTTCACAGAGGAGTCAATAGATGGATCTGTTAAACAGTAGTAGTAGTTTAAAAAAAATCAGGCTCCCTTTGAAATACTTTAAAAAATCAGGTATAACCTTCCTTCTTTCTCCTTGAGCACTTGTTCAAGTCAGCCCGCCTTGCTCCACCCTGTTAGTCTGGAAAGCCAGGCACTGAATTAAAAAAGGGGTGGAGCGCTCCCATTGGATCAATTAGTCACTAGCTACTAGATGCTAGCCACTAGCATTGCCAGCCACTAGCAATTAGCCACTAGCAATTAGCCACTAGCTGCTAGCCGA